CATGAAGAAAAGATTATTAAACTTGAATCTTTAAAAAAAGAACATGAAGAAAAGATTGCTGAATTGGCTAATAAAAATGAATCTCTTCTCTCGGAAAATGCATTATGTATTCGAACGATAGAAGATGCTACCCGTCGTTATGATGAGTTGAACAATAAACATATACAATTTACTCAGGAAAATCTTGAAATGTCAAGTGATCTTCTTGAATTTCGTAAGAAGATAGAAGAATTGGAACACAAGAATCTTTATTTAGAAAAAGATAAAAGTACATTTTCTAACGAAGTAGGTAATGTATCTCAGGAAAAAGAACGAATAATAGCAGAACTAAATGCTGCAAAGGATGAAAAACAACAATTACACGAAGAAGGATTATCATTAAAAAGTGAATTAGAGGAATTAAAGGGTGAGCGGGATAAATTAGCTGGTGTTATTAATATTATGAAGGAAGAATGGGAAAAGGAATATCAAAAGCTTAAATCGGAAAAAGAACAAGCTGAGATTGAAAGGGAAAACCAATATCAACAACTTAAGTCTGAACTTGATCGTATAAAAGGAAGTTCAAATGAAGAAACACAAAATGAATTTAATCAACTGAAACGTGAGACGAAAGAAATTAACGAAAAACTCAAGACCGTACTGAATGAGAAGAACGTTTTAGCAAAAATTTGCGAAGAGCATGAAGACAGCATGCAGGCGCTCGAAAAAAAATCTGCTAGCGAACGTGAAACTTGGAAACAGAAAGAGATAGTACTACTTAAAAAAGAAACTGAAATAAAGGAATTACATCAAAAATTACTGGAACTTAGTAAAGCAAAGTCTTTAACGGACAATAAGGTCATTACATTAGAAGACGAAAAGAAGCGTATTGAAGCTGAACTGAACAAAAAATTAGATGAAAATTCAAGGTTATTAGATCAATTATTTAATGTGGGAAGTTCTTCACGTTCTAATGGGGGAGATGGCACCAGCTATGAAGCTCTCAAAATGAGATTAGATGATGTCGAAATTGAATCAAGTATGAAAGACTCTCAAATATGCGAACTAGAAATCACCAAACAGAAGCTGCAAACACGCATTGAAGGTCTTGAAGCATCAACTGCTCGTTTAACTGCCAAGTTACAAGAAGCTAGTGCTGATTCCAATCGGATAAGAAATCAATTAACTAATTCGCACATTGAAATTGAAGAACTTCACACCCATATTACTAAACTTAAAGAGCAACTTATTGGGAAAACACATTCGGCCGGTACGCACCAACCAAACATAAACAATGATGATTCACGTAAGTTGGCCGATGCTGAACAAACAATCAAGTCATTAAAAGAAGAACTTGAACAATATAAAATTTCACAAGTTGACCTTGAACAGAAACTTTTATCACTCAACAAAAAATTACAAGCAGCTGATGATGAACTACATGCAAATGTACGAACATTTGAGCAATTAATTGCACAAGCAGAAAAAACCTTTCGAGGTAAGATTGAAAAAATGCAAAGAGAACACACTCAAGATAAAGAAAAAATGCAGAGAGAACATCAGAACACTATTGGCATGTTTAATAAACAAAAAGAGGAAGAAATTGCCCAAATTAGCAAAACAATGCAGATGCGTGTGGAAGCTCTTGAGAAACGTCATAGGGATATGGCAGCCGCTGAATTTAGTGAGAACAATGGTTCTAATTCGAAGAGAGTTTTAATATTGGAACAAGAAAAATCTCAATTGGAAAATTCATTAAAATCAACTCAATCAGAGTGTGTACGGTTAAATGACACACTTAAACAATTACAAATGGGATATTTAGATGCAGTTAATGATAAAGATCTGCTGACAAATGCAAAGCGTGAAGTTGAAAAGAAGATTAAGGCCATGGAGATTGAGTTACAAGAGGTAAATACTTTGTGTTTTCTTGAACCACCTCTTATTATAATTCTAAAACTTGACAATTTTTAGGTCAAAAATGAATCAAATAAGAAAGAGATTCAGTTACGCGAGAAAGAAACTCAGATACGAGAAGTAAGTAATCTTATTGCAATCCTTGCATAAAAAGTTGCTTATAACTTACATAAAATTTTCTTGTAGCTTTCCGCAAAAAATATGGAGTTAGTTATTAAAATGGCGAATTGAGTGCGAAAAGCATAGTCTTTTTATAATCGACTATATTATATATATATACCTTAAATTTGTTTTTGTAATTTTATTATACTTGTAAAAAAACAAAAAAACTGTATTATTCAATGTATACATAATAATTCGAATTAATATTAATTCTTAATTTTATTTCTAATGTTTCAAGGATAAAACGTTGTGAGAATGGTCTTTTCACATAAACATCCAATAAATTCACTAGTTTACAACAAAATATTGAAGACATTTTGTCATTATGATTGAATGTAGTTAAAACAAAGCCCGTTTTTCAAAACAATAACGGTAAATTATAGTTATCGACCAATCCTAATTTTGATTTGTTATCGATTTCAAAAAATACTGCGTGTTATTCGAAGTAATCATTTACTAGTTTGGTAAAAATATTAAACGTTAACATATGCTCATTTAAACATTAACATATATGGTTTGTATATCGTGATACGAATGTATGTAACATCACAGTTTTTAAAAAATGTGGACAAAACACCTTTGACCAAATATGCCACGAGTTGATCGTCAAGATGTGTTTATCGTTTATTAAACCACGTTATATGGATATCGATATGCCAAAAGAATTTAGATAACTGGGCGCAGTAATTAAAAAACGGAGTACGGAACGTATGTATACTATATCTTAATTTATTTCTGGTAATACATGATGTGATTAAAATTTCTGTTTATAAATCGCTACGTTGTTATAGTCTACACAAAAAATGAGCCATGGGCACTAATATGTTATTAGAGAACTTATCAGAAAAACTTAGTAAAATGCTTAAAAATGCCGATGATTTTAATACAACTATTCGAGTTGGGCAGGATCCAAATGTTCAAACGTTTCATGCACATTCAAATATCTTAAGAGCATTGTCACCTTACTTTAATAAAGCGTTATCGAAGGATTGGGCAAAAAAAGAAGGTTTTGTTTTATCAACTTGTTCTATTTCAACTCATACTTTGATTGATAATACAGTAATTAATTAAAATTTATTTCTCATAAAAGATGAAATGTTTGTTTTTGAAAAACCGAATGTTTCGCCATCTTGCTTTGAGACAATACTTAAGTAAGCCTTTAATAATTGTTTGAAATTCATAATTCGTTAATTGATGATTAGTTAATAAGTTGAATGAAATTCTTTTCAGGTACATATATACAGGAACGTTTAATCTGGATGAAAAAGATACTCAGGAAATAATTGATATTATTATTGCCTCGGATGAATTTATGCTTTCCGAATTCATTTCTTCCATAGAATCATATCTCATTGAAAAACGCTCCGATTGGTTACGCTCCAACATTGAGTCAATTATTCTAACATGTTCGCAACATTCTATCTTGACAAAGCTTCGGGACTTTTGTTTTGAGGAACTTTGTGACGAACCTCAAAGGATTTTTAATTCACCAAATTTCTGTTTGTTAAATGAATGCTTTTTGATTTCTTTGATTCAAAGAAATGACTTAAATATGAACGAAATTGAAATTTGGGAGATCTTGATCCGTTGGGGAAAAGCTCAACTTGCATCAAATTTAAAATTGGATGATTCACGAGATGTTACTAAATATAGTCAGGATGATTTCACAACTTTGGGAAAAGTCATTGAAAAAATTTTGCCTTATATACGATTCGACCATATTTGTCCATCAGATTTTAGAGAAAAAGTCGTTCCATATAAATCTTTAATATCTAGCGATGTTTACGAAGAAATTTTGTGGAAGTATATAATTGATAGCAAATTCAAATTGCCACCTTCGGTTCAAAGACGTATCGGCAGTATAAATTCTAAAATAATCAAGAAAAAACATGCCGCCTTGATTGCAAGTTGGGTCGATCAAAAAGACAGTGCGTATACTAATGATACAATGCCATACGAATTTGTATTGGAAATTCGAGGCACGTACGATGGGTTTTCTTATGAGACATTCAAATCCAAAGGGGATAATATAACTAACACAGTTATTGTTGCACGAGTGAAGAATAGCAAAGAAGTAATTGGCGGATACAATCCTTATATTTGGAGACATGATCGGTGGAAAAGTTCTGAAGACTTTTGGAGACCTGATACTAGAAGTTTTATATTCTCATTTCCTGATGGCGAAACAACAAATAATGCAATTTTAAGTAGAATTGATCCGTATTATACCAAGTATGCGATGTATATTAGAAAAAATAGCGGACCAGAATTCGGAAATCAAGATTTTTATATGAGCGATCGTTTCGACTTGAAAACTGGTGTAAGATGTAGGAAAACATATTATTTAAAGAAAATACGAGACAGTGAAGAGTTTTTTGCAGTGGATGAATATGAATTATTTAGATTGGTTAGAAAGTGACCTCAGCTTACTATGCATAAATATGAGATTTTATGATTTAATTTATTTTATAAAGATTTGCCTTCTTGTTATCTTAAAACTAAATTTAAGATTAGTATTTCGCTCATATTAGAGATCTTACCGGGGTCAGAAAATACCGACCCGGGCAGGTCATGTATTGACCTGGGTTATAATCCGGGTCAAACGGAAATTCATAAAGTTTTTAAAGTTAATCCTTAAATATTGATGTGACGATTCTTAATTAAAACTATTAGTAGAAAGAGTAACCTTACTCCAAATATTTAAACTGAAATTTTTCGAATTTTATTGAAAAATTTCTCGACCTTGCTGTGATGTGAGTTCATTCATGTTCTACTTTGGGAAGTACCGGATTAAGTATTTTATTAGGCCAGTTTTCGACCCGTCAAGAAGCTAACCCGGGTAAGAGCTTTGCTATTTTATATAATAAATTATCCATACAGTTATATTGGTTTTATATAGCATTTTATGTCTATTTTGAATTCTGATCCGTTTGACCCGTGTTAGAGCAATTTTCGACCCGTGACCCGAGTAACATCTCTAGCTCATATCAGTGTTAGCCGATGACCCTAACGACTTGGATGACCTTCATGACATGTTATATTCTCTATAATGAATATCGATATGACTTATGACTTTTTAATACAGTAAAAAAAAAAAAAAATCTCAACATGACCAGCACGACTTATAACTAAAAAAGTCAAAAAATCATATTAAATATTGTATTTAGACAGTGTTGTTCACTGGAATGATCTAGTGGGAATCACTGAGAACTAGATTACTGGACCTAATGGGACGGAATTGGAAGCATAATAGCTTCTAGTAAAGATTTTTGTTCACTGGATGGAAGTCTAGTGGCTTCTAGTGGCTTCCTCATAGAAAGGATTTCATATAATTGGCTGTTTAAATCTATTTAATTTTATATTATTTATACAGTTTAAAGCATAGTACTTTTTAAAAAAATAAAAGAATAAATAAAAAAAGTATATAAAAAGTCTTATTAGGGTTGTAGGACTCAACAAGTAAAATCCTTTTGTATTTTAGAAAAGTTAGCTATTGTTCAAAAGTCATTATTATGCCAAATTCTCTAAAACAAGAGATTTTGATTATTTTTAATATTGGAGTTCTATAACTCTAATAAAACTTTCTATATACTTTTTTATTTTTTGTAATTTGATTTTTTTTAAAAAGTATTTTTTTTTTTATAGTCAAGGCTAGCCTCTTTGGCTTATCACTTTTATTAGGAGTTACCGGCAGTGTTGTACATTTTTACTGTCCCAAGCTTTTTTGCTATGTTCCAACGTCCTGATTTAAAAAATATATAATTATATATTTTTTTAGGTGCCGAATATATTTTAAAAAAATTTAAGTAGATTATCTTAATAAAATTTTGAGTAATTTTAATTTATAAAATTGTCCCAAATGTCTCAAAATGTTCCAACTTATGTCCCAACTGTCCCATGTACAACACTGGTTACCGGTGCCTCCAAGAGCCCTGGACATAGTTTATTTGTTGACAAAAATACATATAGACATACATACAACTTTAGTTATTGCCTATTTGAAGGCTTAGTTATACTACTATAGTTACTCTCTATATGTTATACTTAAGATCCTCTATTTAAACTCTGATCTGAATTTTCTATATTACACTCTCATCTATTACATCTAGGAAATGAAGTACATATATTATTCCATTCTTTCAGATTATTATAAAAATATCTATAGAACAGCCATTTCTGATGTATACTTATGTATATAATTACTATTAACAGTTTATATTATCTCTTTATTCAGGTTTTGCCAAGCAGGTGTTAATCTTTATAGTTTTTTGAATTTATATAATTATAAAGATTTATTTTGAGTTTGCACTGCCTAATATTAGCTTGCATACTTTGTATAATTTAGGCTATACAAACTTAATAAATTGGTTTTCATAACCTGATCAGGTCAAATTTTTAGAAATCTTTAAAAAAATTTTAAGTATATTTACTATCTAGGTAGGTTTTTTTAAAAAATTTCTAAAAATTTTATGTTTTTTATATATATAATTTTTTGAAATAAAATTAAAAGCTGGGTTGTCAGGTCATTTTCAAAAATTTTATATTATGAGAACCAATTTATTAAGTTTGTATAGCCTTATATATTATACAAATATCTTATAATCACTTAATCTTGTTGATGCTGCTAATGTTAAAAAAAACTTATTCTAACTAATTATCAAAAAACAGTAGTCATCATACAAGCAAAATATTTAAATTTCTGTTAATAGTAAGTTTTGAACCATCTATCAATATACTATTTGGAGTATAACAATTTAATTACTTTACTAAATTGTATATTTTTTTAAAAATTTTTTTAAAATTAGTCTCTTTAGTTTAGATTTTTATTTAAATATTAGTAAGTGGAGCTTGTGACTATAACCTTTTACATTAAAGAGTATATATTAGTTACATGTATATTTTTGGTGTTTAATTTAAGCAGTTTGCCTACAATTCACATTGTAGATTCTATACTTGATGCTGTATCTGTAATCTATTTACAGGTGTTACCTATTTAAACTTTCTATAATCCAATTCTACTTGCCTCATTAGTATATCTCTAATATATATGTTAGTCAAAAGATTTCAAATTCTAACCTATTTTCTTAGAACTACTAGCTTAGTTAACTAATTCATTCTTGAGACATTATTTGTTAAAGCTTTTTTATATCTACAATCTGGCTAACCTAGACTTTAATAACTTATATACAAAGTATTTGTAAGCTAAAACTACTATTATTACCTATTTCTGCTTTTATAAAATTTATTTAAATCTTAGTATATATTTTATAGACTATTAACTATATCTTTTGGCTACTCTAAACTTCTAATTCAAATAGCCCAAAAGGGTTGTGATCTGCTTCTAGTCTTCATAATAGGTTTTTTTTGATTATTTTTTTAACAGCCTAGTTGGTAGAGTATTTTACTAAATACTTCAGTTTCTTTTATTTTTTTTAATCTTTAGATAATAATTTTTTGTATAGTATTGTTAAAGATTTGCGCTACTTTTCATTCAGATCTTATCAAGCAAACTTCTATATCTCAATCTATTAATTTTACTTGGTAGCTTTACTTAGATTTTGTATAACTTATACAGTATATTATTCTACTACCTTCCAGTACAAGCTGATATAATCCTATTACAGGTGCTAATCCAATAGGATATAGTCTTCTAAATACATTCTGTAAATTTGAATTTTATTATTAGTAAGATTCAAATTTTTGTTCTGCCACTTGAAAGTATAACAACTTACTAACTAAGTTACTATCCTTTTTAAAAAGTATTTTAATTTATATAAATCATATAAAATTAAATTAAATTAAATTGATTTAAATAGCCAATTATATAAAAGTTATTCTATAAGTAGTTTCTAATTAGAGTAAATAGTATAGCTAAACAATATAATATACAATTAGCCAAAATTTATATTATACTATATTGGTAATTTCATTAAGCGTGATACACCAACGTGATACATGTCATTTAAAATTGCATATCACCTGATTTTTATAAATAACCCCCCTTAAAAATTATTTATAATAATCCTTATGTTTTAAGCTTTTAAATCCAAAAAACAGTAGGTCAATATGACTTCTCATTATTGAGAATCGGCCATTCAAAGTTATCCAATTGATAATTAAAAAATTGAAAATATTCGATTATCTTAATTCTCCACTATGTGAAGTCGATCAAAAAACATCATCATACGATGCTACTACGCAAGCGTATAGCCTAGCATTATAGGTGAAATTGTAACTGGTAATCTGCTTCATAAAACAGTGCGCTGTAGATATAGAAATGTGATCAACAATTTTCTTAATTTTTCAATAAAAATTGATAGCCGTGATTTCGCCAAAGATATTAACAATAAAATCAAAAAAATATTTTTTTTTTTTTAGATTTAAGTATTTCAGATCATGTAGGAACAAAAACCATCGCAAAAGCAATTTAAATTTAATTTTTTTTGCATTAACTATTTTAGTAAACTTAAACAACCCGAA